CTCGAAATAAATTACATATTTCCGCACAACCATGTATAAATATCCTCTATACATTCCAGTTTACCTTTAATTTGTCAAGTGGTAGGCACAATATTAGTCCTTTTGATTTGTTATTCCCTTTCCCCAACACGGGAGTGATAGGAGCTTGAAAAAATGACAGTTGCATACTTGCGTGTAATTTGCTCGGAGCAATTTGCAATCAACATTGCAAGATTGATTGCAATGTTGCAATACTCATGGGAACAGAACATCCGGTTTGACTGTAAGAGTTATCAAAAAGACTGCTATAGAAGAAGATTTTATCAAAATAAAGTCAGGATAAAGTCTATTAATAGTTTAATACCACGATTACTAATGATTACTACTCTTGAAAGCTTTTCGAAAGACGCCATCTTGTTTTAAAGCTGTTCTAGCCTGCGAACAGGTCTTCAAAACAAGGTTGACGGACTTAACAACTTAACTTAAACTTACTTACTTTACTTTACTTTACTTTACGGACTGACGCGATAGCAATATATCTGCGCTACGCGCAGATACAAAAATCGTTTGTCTAATCGGCCAATCAGCGCTCAGTCCAGATTCTGGACTGAACAACCAGGCAAAATGCCACTTTTGTGTCAGGCCGTACTTTTCTCCCCTTCGCCCACGATCAGGCGTGCCTGTGCCCTAAAAAGTACGGCCTGATACTCAGGTTACAAGAAAATAAACTTCATTCGTTGTTATTTTTACGTTGTAAATCCTAAAAAGTTTGTCAAAATTTTATCAAAACGATGTCATTTAGCCGAGAATATGCTCATCGTCTACCAATTCCTACAGCAGAAGAAATACTGGAAGATTTTAATTCCACAAAGAACAAAGATTTTATTGATCCATTGTTTAATTATTTACCTGAAAATGAATTAAATATGCAAGAGTGTGGTAAGCACTATATATGTAGGGATTGTTGGAGCTGGCTTCGGATTCCTTCAATATGCAATTATCATTTTGACTCTGAGACGAGTTCAATTGTCTCTTGACTCTAAGTCGCTAACAAACTATGCCGCTTGCCGCTATAAACAAGCTACACACATTCTCTGTAAGGGATGACCCCTTACTGGACCTCTAAGTGCTCTCCTCTTGAATAATCTGGCATTAGACAGAGTAAAATTGTATAGTAAGGCGCATCCCGCATTGGGGCACAATGCAACTTAATTGGTTAATTAAATTGTTGAATGCGGCACAAGGCTGTCCCTTTGAGAAGTAAATAATTGTGTCCGGAATATGACATTTAAGAGGTCGATAAGGCTCCTTTAAGGGCTCAACTCCTCTTCAATTACTGGGGGCAGTTGTCATGAAGTATCTAGACACAATAGCATCTATGTTATCACCATTTGTTTTTCTCTTTCAGAACACAAGGCTGACAAGGACTCATCACCGAGCACAAAAGGAGAGCAGGAAAAACAAAAAGAAATTACCGACACATACAATAAAGTTTCAGAGTTTTTAGAACAGAACAAAAACCTTAGACAATCTATTACATCAATGAATGAACTCGCCAAAGAATTACATGCAAAGAAAGAGAACTTGACACAATTGATTTCTAATATAAATGAAAACATGCAAGAAAAATAAAATATATAAACGCCAAGTAAAATTGATATAACAGAAGTTTAAAAATGTTAGTTAATTAATAAAGGTAGTATATTTGGTTTTCATATGTTTCAGCAGCCTCAAGAGCCATAGGGAAGAGTACAGTGAATATATGGCACTTTATCCATTAATTGTTTATCAAGTCGGTATATTACCTGTTTCAAAGTGAAATATTGCTCATTTCACAATGCAAAAACAAACCACAAGCATTGTGGGAAGGTCAGGACAACACACTTCAATGTAATGCAACAGGGCCGTAGCAACCGGGGGGGCTGCAGCCCCCCCAATAATTTGCTAATAATCATTCTTTTTTCAAAATCATGCAAACTTTATCATTTAATCTGTGACAAACTGCAAAGAATGAAGATATTACTCATACTCCAGATCGTTCCTCGCGTAGAAATTTTAGCTGAATTTCTGTCGCGCATTTTCAAGAAAATCCCACAAAATCTGCACATTTTTGATGAACTAATGATTTATTTTGTCTTTTGCGTGTTGGGTCTTGCGAAAGAAAACTCTGAAAATGCCATTTCAGACCATCTAGAGACTCCAGATTTTCGAAATTTTCTCAAATGTTCTGCCTTCATTTCCGCGCAACTGCCATTTACGACGAAAATTCCCGCCGCGCATTTATAATACTACAGTCTGGCCCATACTTTCCTGTAAATTTCGACATACTAAAACGCTGTTTTCTGACTATCAGAATTCTGTTAAATCTTCCCCCAAAGTCCAGGAAATGGCATTTTAGAGACTCAAAATTTAAAAATTTCCTCGGGCCTTCGGCCCTCGCTTTCAGCCTCCCCAATCGAAAAGAGCTTCCTACGGCCCTGTGCAATGCAATATATACTATCCTCCATTATGATACATCATCTTTTGGTGCACCCCACAGTGCTTGTTTTGCATCTAAAATTGCTTTATCCGCCTCTTCGTTCAGATTTCTGCACTGCTTTAGTACATCTAGAAAGAAAAGACTACTTTATAGCAATGTGTTCAACAGTTACATATATTATATATAATAACTTCTCATTGAATTTGCTGATAACCATTAATACCTTCAAATTGTTGTTCAGCAGACCAGGCAACTTTCTTTTCTGTCTTTTCACTTAAGAGAGCTAAAGTGAAATAAGTCCCAAGCAGGGCACATTAGAGGTTGATGATGTATAAACCATTAAGCTGCAATACTGTATGTGCCCAAATGCACCCTACTTTGGTATTTTACTCTGTCTAACACCAGATGACATTACTCATCAAGGGAGAGTGTTGCAGCGCTACTAATGGGTTAATTTAAAAGTAAGATGGAAATGAGTTAATGGTAAAAAGTATGCATGTAAAGTAATTTTTTACCACTTTGCTTTTTGTCCAAACATTCTGAAAATCTATTCATATCAAAATCACATGCTGGATCTTTGTTTTTTGGATCTTCCAAATCTAAAAATTCAGAATTTAATATACATTTGAAATTTTTCATCAAAACAGCATTGACAGTGTTGAACCACACAGAGCCTTATTGAATGCCACAAGTACTGTACCGTTAAGTTTTGCTTCTAAGTCATCACAAACTTGAAACAATCCAGCTCCTTCTCCCAACATTTTCTCTCCTAAAAAATGTAGAAATATCAAACCTTGGACTGAAAAATATGATAACAAATAGATATACGATTTGGTAAAAAACTTTGTGCTGACTTACCATCAAGCATAGAAATATTTGGAAGGAATTTGCAGATGGGCGTCTTGTAGTTGGAAAGTGTTTGACAAACTAGATAATGATCGAAACACATAAGTTGGAGATCAAAGTCCTGAGCATTACACTAGAAGAAAAATAAAGAGGACCATGCACAGAAGCTGCATGCCAGCATATTCACCATTTTCCTCACCTGGATTAGAAATGTTTTTTGTTTTATCTTCCAACCGAAGGCTCTCCAAAAATTTCAAATTGCAAAGTGGTTGCAATGAATCAATACTAAAGACAATGACAAATAAATGTATTCCTTTAGATGTGCCATCCATTTCTTTATATGCATGTTTAACCCATCAAGCTATATATTGCAACCTAATGCACCCCACAGGTTTTATTATTTTACTGAACACCAGACAATTTTACTTGTCAACAAGAGAATGCTGCTCAAGTTAACCCATCAACTTGCATTGTGCCCTGAATGCCCCCTAGCACATAGCTAGATACGAACAATTGATACCTCGTAATAAGATTTCCTGAAATATTTAATGACTCCAGACTTTCCAATCCCTCTAGACCAGCTAAAAATTTAAAAAATATATGTTTGTTTAACTTAATACAATCTTAGTGGTTGAAAGAAGCCTGGCTGCCAACCACAGCAGCCTATTTCATCTTTCTTACCTAAGTTTGTAATTCTATTGCATGATAAATCGAGTGTCGTCAAATCTTTTAGATGTTCTACAAGGAAGAAATGTTAATCCATCGTTGTAAGGCAATCGAAATTAATTCTAATCAGTTACATAACATTATAAAGCATTATAAAATAGTTATATTTATAGAATTACCAAGTTGTTGAAGATCTGATATGCGGTTTTCAGAAAGATCTAAATACATCAATCCAGAACATTGCCCAATAATGCCAAGATTGTTGATGCCTACAATACAATGAGTTGCTTTGTATACTCATATACACCGGAGTAAGATCTTTCAACTTGATCAAAGTTAGGATCGGGAACATGTTTGACATTAAAGGGTTAGCTCGGCTTCGCCTAATTAATTAACATTAATTGACTAACTATTAATGTTCTTATTAATCCACTGAGAAACAGTGCTTTCCCCTGATGAGTAAAATCGTCTGGCATTAGACAGTTTAAAATAGCAACTTTAATAGCTTGATTAGGGCACAATTAATGCAACTTATGTAATGGGTTATTTTTTCAAAAACCGGGGGGGGGGGGTGAAAATTGTTGTCAACCTATAAAGTGGCATGTACCCACAAAAGGGTGTGGAAATTAAATGTTAATTGTGTCACCAAACTGTGGCATCATATAAAAAAATTGTATTGTGGCCACGCCCACAAATGTCTACAACCGCACCTACATATTTTTACATGTTTACAATTCTAATTTTAAACAGCCAGTTCTTGGTAACAATTACTATAATATGCCAATTAGCTGTTTAAAATTAAAATTGTAAACATGCAAAAATATGAAGATGTGATCATGTGGGGCAGCGTTACAAATTTTTGATGTGATGCCGTTAAGTTCAGGCATGAGATCCATAATAATGTGATGTATACCCAAATTTCTGGCATTTAACTTTATTATACTGGTCACATCAAATTCGCCAGTGACTTTCTTTAACAAGTCTTTCGTGACCACAGAATCTGCAAAAATAAACAACACAGATATGCTTGACAACAACATAAAACATGCAATACAATTAAACATTGTCTGTTCAAGCAAAAATACCAAATACAAGCCCTCAACTGCTTCAAATCTTACATATACAACAAATAAAAAATAAACCAGCTAACAAAATTTCGTTGAACAACGAAAAAACAAATAATAAATTTAAATAACAAATACCTGTGTTCATGTTGACATTGCTTCCCGCGGTTTCGCGCCAAAATCTCCCATGTTTCCTGTAAGATTACATCCTTCAAAATGTCTTGTGGGGCGCCCATAAATGTGTTTTTTTTTTCAAAATTTTTAGGTTTAACAGCAAAATTTGACAATAAAAATAAAATTTGTCGTTAAAGAACATCTTAAAATATAAAATGCACTGTATTTTGATGCGTAATTATAGCATTGTACTTCCAGAAATGTAAAAGTTTCTTTAAATTTAATAATATAATTAAGGCATATCCGTCTATATTCTCAAAAATTCTATTTCAAGGCATGAAAATACAAATAAAGGGTATTTCTTTGCCAAAATTATCTAGAAACTAATAAATTTACTTGTTATTTTAATGCTTTTTCAAGAATATTTCTGCACGAACCCACAGCTTATATCTTTTGAGTGATGTTATTTGCATCGTTTACACGTAAACAAAACTGCAAAATTAAAATTTAAAAATTATCATTTTTTTGTCCGGGATTTTGTCAGGAATTGAATGTGATAAAGAATACAATTATTTTTAATTTTTAATGCAAAGTTGACAGCATTTTGTTATAATATGGCCAAGAAACGGCTTTTTAACAAAACATAATATCGTTTTATAGACGTTTTATAAGAGACGCCGAGACGGATGTCGTAAGAGCGACTTCATCGAAAATATTTTAGAACGGCTGGCATGGCGGTTCATTTTGAAAGAGGAACAGCACATGTGGATTGGTGTGAACCAAACTACGCTATTTCGCCTAATATTGCAGAGTTTTTCAATACGGTAAGACCAGTGGCTGTTTTAAAGGTTGCCATTTATGGGCAATATAAATAAACATTGGTATTGTGTCTGTAATTTTTATTATGGCTTCTGATATTCAATTCCCAGAGGAAGTTGTATAAATTTGGATATTCAAATCGGAATTTAATTGAGAGTACACAATAGACTCTTTGCAGTTAACTTAAAATAGTTGAGCAGTACGTACGTGACTGGAGAGATTTGTAGACAAAGATGTAAGACAAAGCTTAGAAAGCTTGCTCTCCAGATATTAATGTTACTGTGACATAGAGTTTTTTTTGCATAGCTGCAAAGGGTCCATCGAATGAATAAATTATCGCTCTGTTTAATGTATTTCTCTACATGGCATGTTAGATTAGGTTTTAAGGATTTAGTACTAGAGACAGATTGAGGATTAGATTCATTATAGGACAAGATTAAGAATTAGATTTAGAGTGACATATAGGATTATATAATCTTTACTTTCTGTCTAACACCAGATGATTTTACTCATCAAGGGGAGATGGATTATTTTACTATGTCTAACGCCAGACGATTTTACCCATCAAGGGGAGAGTGCTGGCGCTCATTGGGTTAAGATTTAGGATTACATCAGGTATTAGAATCAGGTTAAAAGATGAGGTCAGATTTATTCTAACAATCTCCTGTATTTTACACAGATAAGCAATGTGATATATTTTGTCATACCACCATTTAACATGTAAGTTTGAAACATAATATATTATTTTTCAAATGGGTAAATTTTTATTTGGCAGCTGTCGTTATAAAATTGAAATAAATGTTATTCATTTAGTTATTTATTTTGGGAATATTCAAACAAAGTCGGCAGCAGTTTTAATGTTGTTTGGATTCTTATGATGGTTATTGGAGCAAGTTCAGCTTATTTTCATGCGACCCTGAGCCTTGTTGGCCAGCTGCTTGACGAGGTTGCGATACTGTGGGTCCTGCTAGCTGGTTATGCTTTGTGGACACCAGAATGGATGATACAGTATACTGGAATATTTAAATCAAGGTTGGTAAAAAGGTGGAGTCCAGAGAGCAATGCAATGGTCATAGCACGGCCAGTTGCCATGGTTTGCTTCGGTCACTGGTCAAAAGGAAAGTTTATTAGGCATTAATGGGTAAATAAACATTTTTGCCCTTTTATAGAACTGGCTTTAAATTAGCTGCTGTAGTTGTTGCTGTGGTTGCAACCTTGTTGGGATTTGTCTACCCAGCTGCCAACGCAATTGCTCTGATGATGCTTGGTGTTCCATGTGTGCCGATCTTATGGAAGGAAATTCAAAGGTACACTATGAAATTGAGTGTGATAGACCCTCTGTTCAGCTGTTGGTGCTACAAGTCTGGAACAAGTTGTTATCACCTTGTAACAAGGTTGATGAGGCTAACAACTGCAACAATTAAGTTGTTCCAACAAGTTTGATATCGTCTGCATGTAACAAGATGATGACAACAAGCTGATAACAACTTGTTATGAACAGCTTGTATTAGTCTTGTTGGAACAACTTGTAACAAGGTGATAACAATTTGTTGTCAAAACAACTGGGAATTAAGCAGTGTAACACATTTTTATGTGTATTAGTTGAGACAAATAATGAATTTCTCTTCCTCATATTTAGATGCAAAAGTACAAAAGTGGTAAAACTTGCTTACATTGGCATATTGTGGTGGTTTGTCGCTGTAATGCTATGGTTAAGTGATCGCTTATTGTGTGACATCTGGAAATATTTTTCCTTTCCGTACTTTCACTGTGGCTGGCACGTCTTTATCCTGCTGGGGTCGAATATTGGCTGCGTGCTGGGATGTTACTTCTACTCACATTCCGAGCATAAGGAATTGAAGACTGAATTGAGTTTCTGGCCAACAAGCTTTGGCACATGGGGATTGCCTTACATTGCAGTGAGGAAAAAACCATTGCAAAAACAAACTTAAACACAACTTTTTAAGAGTTTTAGAGTAACATAAATTATATAGCCAAATATTATACTGTATTTATTGAACTTGTATGTAGTAAATTTTTCAACAATATTCATTGCTGTAACTTTTAGCACATCCTTGCAAAATACAAGACAATTAAACAAAACCTTTGCAAAAACAAATTTAGAGTAACATAATTTACATAGCCAAATGTTATACTGTATTTATTGAACTCGTATGTAGTAAATTTTTCAACAAATTGTTCATGATTGCTGTAACTTTTAGCCCATACAAAATACAGAACAATAACAAGTTGTTGGAACAACAATGTAACAATCAACATTCCAACAACTTGTCAACAAGCTGGGAACAAGCAGTACAAACACAGCTTGATATATCAGCATGTTGAAACAATCTTGCATATTAAACAAGTCTGTCAAGTCATGAAACTTGTAGCAAGTTGTCAACAAACCTGCATGTTTTGTGAAATTAACAACAGATTTTTTTATTTGGCTAAACTTTCAATCCAAAGCAAATTTAAACAACGAAAGTAGCAAACATTTAGCTGCACTGTTACTGTGGATTGTTGAATTTTCTGGTGACTTCACAGTTCCTACCCAGAAATGACGTCAAATTACTATGAAGGATTCTACTTTATAGTGTAAAACTATACAAATCTTTATTAATAATCTTTCATTAACAATCTATATATACAAACATAATTTATAATGTAAATACAACAATATCAACCTCTATATTTATGCTAATACTATGTGTAATATATTACCATTACAATCACACAATTTTCAATTCGTACTCCGAACTGCAGTTCATTTAAAAATACCCATCTTTCGGTGTTTTATAATACTATGTTTGAATTGTATTGGCAACAACATTTATGCAGAGTGAAAGAACTCTGTAACTAAAGTAAGTAAGTTATTTTGCATTGAAATGTAAATGAGATGACGTCACAAGCGTCGTAAATATTATCAATGTCCGCAAAATGTCAATCATATGGACAATGCCTCATCATTCCAGATCATTTTTAATATGCACGTAAATCTGCAATGATTTGCATGAATTTATTCAATTTAAAGATACATTGAATGATATATATTTCAGCCTTACACATGTTTTTTCAAAAATAGACTTCAAGTATTAATTATTCTGCATTTATTAAATAGTATATAAACGAATTTGCAGATTGATACACCCTAGGCCTAGCCATAGATATCTAGCTCATTTTAGCGTATGTACATATATTTGAATATGTACAAAAATTTACAAATATGTTCTGATTTCATAGAAGAAACTAGGTAGGCCAAATTAGCAACATGCCCAGTTACCACTGTTTTCTGATGATTTACATGCAAGAATGGAATGGTACAAAGGTAACTGGGCATCTAAAAATGTATGCGAGTGAATTGTGACGCAACAGACACGATTTACTTTTCGTTTACTACATGGAATTGCCAAATCACAAGATCTATAACCACGCATGCAAGTTTTAAAATCACTACTGCACACAAAAACTGCAGCGAAACTACAACGAACTACACAGTATACATCTTTTTGTCTTTTTGTCCAAAATCTCTCAAACCTTACGGTCAAATGTTACAAAAATCTATCTATAATACCATGTGCTCTTAGAGGACAGGTATTTTCTAAGCCTAAGGTAAACTTTTACATATTAAACAATGAGTCCATCAGCACTTGTTTTACAAAGTGCGTCTCGTCGAGTAATATATCACACAATATTTTCTTATAATTTTTCCATAAATATTTCTATAATCTTTTGTAAAAGGATAATTTTATGTGTTCATTTCATTTCGCCCGTCTGTGGGCCTCGAGGAATATGGTCGACAACTTTTCATCATATACTTTTGACTATTCTCTTCAATTCATCGATTTTTTGTTCTATACGATTCAATGTCGTTTTGGTTTCATTTATGTTCCAACAGTTCCCGTAAACTCAACCATTAACACAACATAAATTCGTGCAACATGGAACGCAGTTTAAATCCACGAGATAAAACACCCCGAACCTCGCGATGGCAACAATTCGCTGTCAAATATTCTGTCGCAAAAAGAAAATTCGAATAGGATTCTCAAAAGCGCAAAATGGTTTGGCAGAGTTTAAAAAATTCCACTTGTGGAACTCATTAATAATTCATGAAGAAAACACAAAAGAAATCAGAGCGTGAAGGAGTTTGTATATCTGATACAAAATCATGCTAATTTACATAAACTTCAAGTTCAATTTTCTCACCAAATATCATCCGCTCGTGTTGCAAATGGTACCAAGATATAAACTTACCTAATCCCTTCTGAACGCCGCCTATGAACCGGACAGAATACTTTCTAGGAAAGGCGACACTGTCAAGGTGTAATAGGCCTAGTAAAAATTCATTGTGGATAGTATAGTCATTATACAGTTTATACAAAAACAGTGCAGCACATGATATACTACTATGATGGTATAGTCATTATACAGTTTATACAAAAACAGTGCAGCACCATGATATACTACTATGATGGTATAGTCATTATACAGTTTATACAAAAACAGTGCAGCACATGATATACTACTATGATGGTATAGTCATTATACAG